CAGTTCTCCACTTAGCGAACCAAGCTCACTAGCTGGAGTGGTTAGCCTTACAAGTGGTGGTGCTGGCTTCAGTTGCAGTCCATGCCTCTGCCTTTCCTTCTCCCTCCCCAACCCATTTCCCACCTTTGTACCAGAAGGGTATTTCAGAATCATAAATCTGACCATATTCTTTGCTTGAAATTCCTCTGTGTAAGACTTTCTCATCCTCTTTTGACTGTGGATTGTGTGGCCCTCCTTCTTCTGTACTTGTGTATACATCCATCAGAACGCTCATCCGGCACACTGTGTGTGGATTTATGGGTTATGGATTGTGACATAGCTATTGACTTGCAGTTTTGTATCCCCGGGGTCTTCCTTCGACACAGCAGACCCATGAATAGATACGTTGAAATGTCTATACCTCAATATCATTTCTCATTCAGTAAACTTTATAAATATTTCTGGCTCCACCCCCTAGGTTTTTTACTGCATACACACAGTAAGAGGACATGGGCCTATGGCTCAGTTCTCAAGTGGCCGTAAATAAGAATTTCTGTAAAAGTCAAACAAGAAGGCAGACTTTGAGTAATTTCAGACATGTGCTCATTTGCACACTTGTGGGTTGCCTTATTTTATGTAATTGTCCATAAAAATGTGGCATGGAATCTTCATTATTTTTAATATAGATAGCATATGCCCATCCAAATGAAAAATTTTAAGCAAATCTACTTTTTCCCTCCCCAATACTTAATTAGTCACTACAAGACATTTTTGATATTCTAGCCTTTGTCTTTAGGTAGAGCTGTTAAAGTTAAATAAGTGTGAATATCTGTCAAATACAGTTCTTGCAAGAGTGCACGTACATTTTATATGTTGTGAGAAAATCGTAATTAATAGCTAATTAGGATAATGAAAGTAATATACACCAGATGTAGAGAAGACCTTGTGGAAAATTAGTATGAATTAGATAACATGTGATTTGGTCAAAGCAAGCTTGTTGAGAAGAATTAAAACAGTGGACATGTGGAGGGACAATCAGTGGCTGTCTAGCTTCTACACCTAGGGAATAATTTAATCAAGTTTGCTATTGTAATACTCAGGGCTTCAAGCTGTTCCAGTTTCACAAGTTGATAACTTGGGATTTGGGCCTTGATTTGCAGCATTCCTATATGGTCAAAGTTTCATGTTGAGAGGATCACTTATCAAGTAATTTAATAAAATCATCTCCATGTATAAGAATGGAAAAGTAATAAGAGATCCCCTGTACTCTGATTCATGCTCCAGATCTTCCAGGTACCAATTAATTAGTACAAGTCTAATACTTGCTATCTAACTCATTTCCTACTTAATGTTCATTGACTGGCAATGGTCTGATTTTCTTATTTTTTTTTTTATTCCTTCCAGTTGTTCACCTGAATTTCTTAAACTCAAATTCATTCCTTGATTGGTTGATGTAGATATATTTTGAAGCAGTATATATATATTAAGTCAATATCTAACATCTCTTAAGATCTTAAGTGCCAGGCATTATACTTACTATTTTACAAACATCATGCCACTGAATTCTCATAACAATAGGTATAAGTATCATAAGAATTGTCTTTATTTCCACTTTCAGATGAGGTAACTGAGCCATTGACAAGGTTACACAGATAGTAAGTGTTGCACTTGAGATTTGAACCCCAGTCCTGTACCTACTATATATATATATATTGATAGTTATAAATAATGTAAAAAAAAATTTCATCTTTTTTATTTACATAAAGACATAGAATAGATGTTGTTGGGGCGCTTGGGTGGCTCAGTCGTTTGGCGTCTGCCTTCGGCTCAGGTCATGATCCCAGGGTTCTGGGATCGAGCCCCGCTTTGGGCTCCCCGCTCGGCGGGAAGCTTGCTTCTTCTTTTTTTTTTTTTAAATTATTTTTTTATTCTTATGCTAATCCCCATACATTACATCATTAGTTTTAGATGAAGTGTTCCATGATTCATTGTTTGTGCATAACACCCAGTGCTCCATGCAGAATGTGCCCTCCTCAATACCCACCACCAGGCTAACCCATCCTCCCACCCCCCTCCCCTCTAGAACCCTGTTTGTTTTTCAGAGTCCATCGTCTCTCATGGTTCGTCTACCCCTCCGATTTCCCCAGGGGAAGCTTGCTTCTCCTTCTCCCACTCCTGTGTTCCCTTTCTCGCTGTGTCTCTCTCTGTCAAATAAATAAATAAAATCTTTAAAAAAAAAAAAAGATGTTGTCTTTTATGTGATAAATCATCTTGATTAATTTACTTCATTGATTTTTATCAAGTTACTACAGCACAACCATCTGTATTACAGGCATTTTTTTTTCTTACCCATTAGGGATTGCTAATTGATGAGCTTTACAAATTATCTGTTCTTTGTTTGCTTTTAGGCAGTAATGTTTAAGCCATATTCCAATCTTGAAATGCCCATAGGTAATAAAAACCTGGCCTACTAATGTTACTGGGAGTTCTGTTAATGACAAAGTCATGGATCGACTCAGGAACTGAATAAATATAAACCTCAGTTATGGTTTAAGGTAATATGTCTAGCCCTGGTGCAAACACTTGAGTCTCTTTAAGTGGTCAAAATGAACTTAGTTGAATTTCTTTTTTAAAATGAGAAGAACCAGGGTGCCTGGCTGGCTCAATTGGTAGAGTGTGTGACTCGTGATTTCAGGGTTGTGAGTTCGAGCCCCATGTTGCGTATAGAGATTACTTAAAAACAAAATATTAAATAAATAAATAATAAATCGAGAAGAACCTATAGATTGAAATGGGTATTTGAAAAGTCGAGTCAAACTGTGATGTAAAGCTCAGACATCAAAGTATAGTAACAATTTTAGTATCAAAAGAAAAGAAAAAGAAAAGCAAAAACTGCATAGTTCAATGTAGATAGAACTTACTGATTATTAACTGCCTTCTCAAATCCTGAGATCATTTCTATGTTTAATTTTTGTGGTGCTTAAGATACTTGTTTTATATAGATTTGCCATCATGTCTTGTTTCATGAAATTTAATTGTCTCCTGAATTCTGATATAAATCCTCATAGATTACTTTATCAGTAAAATCTTATTTGCCCACCTACTTAGATAATGAGAAAAAGAAAGGTGTCTATTTTGTTCAGTAGACTTTGAAAATCTCATTTCTGTCTAGAGAGGGCTGGGTTAAGTGCTTTCTAAGAGGTACCATGTTTTATGCATTACTGATTTTTTTTTTTTTCCATAGACATGAGATTCGAGAACAACTGCTTTCAAAGTTACTTTCCTGTTGGCTATTTTACTGTTTGTGTATATATGTATGTTAGCAAATAATTTTGATAGTATGTGGTATGTTCTTCACTAGAAGGCTAGTGAATAATCAAAAAATAATTTTGAAGTACATGAGAAGATATTTTTAAGAGGGAAAAATAATGCCTGCATGTAGAAATTCACATAGATTAAAATATGTGAATTGACAATCAGTGTAATGAACTCAAGAGCTGTTTCTCTGGGGGCAGAACACAAGAAATTTTAAAAATCATTCAAAAAAGGGATGCCTGGGTGGCTCAGTTGGTTAAGCAGCTGCCTTCGGCTCTGGTCTTAATCTCAGGGTCTTGGGATTGAGTCCCACATAGGGCTCCTGCTCAGTGGGGAGCCTGCTTCTCCCTCTCCTCCCTGCTTGTGCTCTCTCTCACACTCTCTCTCTTGCTATCACTCTCTCTCGCTAGCTCTCTCTCGCTAGCTCTCTCTCTCGCTAGCTCTCTCCTTCGCTAGCTCTCATGGGCGCGCGCACTATCCCTCTCTTTCTCTCATTCCTGCCCGCACTATCTCGCTCTATCTCTTTTGCTATCTCTCTTGCTATCTCTCTCGCTATCTCTCTCTATCTCTCTCTCTCTCCCTATCTCTCTCGCTATCTCTCTTGCTCGCTATCACACTCGCTCACTATCTCCCTTGCTCGTGCTCTCAAATAAAATCTTAAAAAAATCATTCAAAAAGGCTTTTTGACCACATGATTACCAATGAGAAATGCTGTGTAAAAATCAGTAAGATATTAAATTTAAAAGAATATCATGCAGAATGGATAGCAGAATGGATCCCTAATGGGTACAATTCCTGTATAATTGATAAATAATCCAAGAACTTTCCTTGTGAAGTGTAAAAGCACAATAAACTTAGAAAAATTGTAACTAATAAAATTCAGTAAAGTGACTAGGATAAAAGATTAAATATATAAAACAAATAACTTTCCCACATACCACTTGTAACCTCCTTAAAAATATAATTGGAAAAGCTCCATAAAGAATAGGAAAAAAAGGGGCACCTGGGTGGCTCAGTCGTTAAGTGTCTGCCTTAGGCTCAGGTCATGATCCCAGGGTCCTGGAATCAAGCCCCGCATCGGGCTCCCTGCTCAGTGGGAAGCCTGCTTCTCCCTCTCCCTCTCCCACTCCCCCCCTCCCCCTGCTTGTGTTCCCTCTCTCGCTGTTTCTCTGTCAAATAAATAAATAAAATCTTGAAAAAAAAATAGGAAAAAAGGATATGTTTCATAATAGGATATCAAATGAATCAAATGGAATTAAAATGTTACTGAGACGTATAAAAAGAAAACTCAAATAAATTGAGATATCCTATTTCTACAAGTTTACTACAGGGAAATGTTAAATAGAATAAAATGCTGATTAGTACTTCAAAGTGATTTACAAATGCTTATGTCAAGTGATAAAAAGTATGCATAGAAAATATCATGAAAGAAAACAAGTAAAACTATGTAACTATTACAGGATGGCTATTTTTTTATTGTTATACTCTTTTTGTATTTTTTCTAATAAACATGCATGCTTTTGTAATGTGAAAAAATATACACATTCAGTGTATTTTAACAATTTAGATGAAAAGGTAATACTTCCTTTACCTTTTCCTTGTTGTTTGACTTTAATGCAGGAATGGAGGAACTTTCTATATATGCTTTTTTTTTTTAATTTACATGATTGTTTTTATTTTTAACTTACGGTTTTAAATTTCCTTAGAAAGATGTGCGGGACATCCTCACCCCAATTCAGGTTGAAGCTGCTTACCACCTTGGGCACCATGTCATCAGTAAACGAAGTACAGAAGAATTCCCACCACTTCAGCCAATTCTCCAGCAGAAGAAAGAAAAAGACGTAATTGAAAAAACAGTAAGAATATTTTCCTTATTCAAAACATGATGTGCATGTAACTAAAGTAATTTTTTTTGTAACATTGCCTAATTCTGGGGAAATGAATTATCTTTCTGAATTTTTAAAGAAAATTTTATGAATTTTTTTAATATAAAAAGATTTATGATATGTTTTGTTTTCCATTTTTCTTTATTTTTTATATTCCCTTTAGGATATTAAACTGAATATTTTAAAATACGCATTTAGTCCCAGCAATGGCTTACCATATATATGAGATGTTAATTTTCTTTCCTTGATTCCTTGCCCATGAGGAAAATATATTGCTAGGGAGCGCTCACAATGACAGTGAGTCACATTCATGAGGTTTATCTTCTCCTTTTTCATTTTCTGCCTCCTTCTCTCTCATTTTGTCTCCCTCTCATTCACTCTACCCAGATTCATCCAGTCTTGGTAGGCAAGTCCCCTTGCTGGCTTTTAATCCTTTATAAACATGAGTATTTCTGTTACACAACAATTTCTCCTTCAAATTCAACCATAGCCTTTACTAAAGCCACGTCCCAGGATCCATTGCATTTTGAGATGGATCTTGCATTCTAACCAGTGAACAGCCTTCTCTAATGTATTCCAGAGTATCTCCCTTTCACTTGCAGTGTGTTTATTCCCAGGAGTCCAGTTGTCTGGACCTTTACTGTCCAACAATGCAAAGACCTAGTCAACAGGATGTTAGGGGGCATGGTAAAAACATTCACTAAAGCATTTGCTAATGGCACAAGGAATGTAAAAGGCAGAAGGGACACTCCAAGGGCTAGTTAGCATCCTGTCTAGACAAGTTGCTCCTAAGTCACTTGAAGGTCTTTGAGCTTACAATCATGACTCTCTAGTCTAGAATGCTAGATCCAGTGAACATAATACCTTAAGGCAAGTTTTCTCAATATACTTAATGTATCTGTGGAAGTCAGTGTTTTCACCCCTCTGTTGAACTTTAGTTGTCAATATCAACCATTCTTAACTATGTTTAATAACGAAAAATGCAGCGTTGTAAGTACATAAACCCAAACCTTAGCAATTTGTAATTACATTAGAATAAAACTCTACCAGAGTGCCTGGGTGGCTCAGATGGTTAAGCGCCTGCCTTCAGCTCAGGTCATGATCCCAGGGTCCTGGGATGGAGCCCTGCATCGGGCTCCCTGTTCAGTGGGGAGACTGCTTCTCCCTCTGCCTCAGCTCCTCCCCCTGCTTGTGCTCTTTTGTGCTCTCTGTCAAATAAAGAAATAAAAATCTTAAAAAACAAACAAACAAAAAACACTACCTTTTGATTTTTAAAGCACCATGCTTTACAGATAAGAGTGATAGAAAAAAAAAATCATATTTACCTAATCATTTAGAGAAGGATTTACACTTCCTTTCTGCTTCACCAGGTCAAGGCAGGCTGTAGTCGGACGTGCTATTTGACAACATGCTAGTCATTTCCCATTTAATGAACCAAGCTCCTTCTCTGACTTTATAGATTTCTCTTAGCATCTCTCCACTTCCCTCTATTCCTCTCAGCTTCCTTTTTCTCTCTCTGCACTCTTTCTTTGTCTATCTTATACCTCAGGTTTTCCCATATACCTTTTCGTTCTCTGGGTCCTATTAAAATGCTCCAAGTTAAATAAATTCTGGAACCCTGAGGGTCAACTATCATTTAATTTTGTTCAATGTATCCTCAAAGTAAAATTTCTAAATTTCTACATTTTATTGTTTCCAATAAATATAAGCCCATTGTCCTACCATCTATGAAAAGTAAGTGCCATGTTTATTTGTAATAAGTGGATCAAACCGTAGCACCAGAAAATTGAGAGGAACTCAGGAAAGAATATCTTGGCAGCACAGGTTTTAAACACTGACCTTTAAAACTTTACCTCAATTTAATTAAACTCATTTTTTTCATAACAATTATAAAAAAACAATAATTTTTTCCATTTAACAAATTTAGGCCTTCAATTTACCTATTGGGAGAATCAGTTCCTTTAGCCCTACAGTTGTCATTTGGACCTGTGACTAATCCTCAAATTAAACTCTTCAAAAGGAACAAAATATGGCATTATCAATTTTGTTTCGTTTTTCTCATGTATCATAGATGTCTTCTTAAAAAAGTAGAAGTATCCCAAATTGTTGAACTACCATAAAAAAATACTGTCATATTTTATTTCCAGATAAACTTCGCAAGATTTTGTGCCCATGAAAATTGTTCGGCTGATTTACAGGTTTCTGCGAGAATTGGATTTTTTAAGTAAGTATAGTTTACTGTTACTCACCAAGATGGGCAATGGGTGTGTGCTTGTGGGTTCTAAAAAGAAAAGGACCAAGAACTACCCCTCAGGGATTAGCAGCATTCAAAGAATTGAAAAAAACACTCTCCTGAAAGAGATTAAGTGATCTATGTGTCACTCACACATAGATACTCAGAGGTGACCAGTTTTTGAAGAATGAGAACATGCGAGCACCAAGATTTTATAAAGCATGTTTTAATCTTCTGACCTCTCAGAAAATATTTCCAGATTTAATTGTGCTTGGGTTATCATGATTGTAGGTATGTTTTAGACATATGTAGGTGCCTATTAATAGAGTTTTGGTGGCAAAATGAGCTAACGTTCACTAACATATAATGCTTAGTTTTTTTTATCATCCAAAAACTGGTTACATAAGTCAGACTGATGTACAAAGCAAAAGAAATCCCTAAAGGTGTATGACAACATTTGAAAGGGAATAAACCACCTTGCTTGTCTAAATTCTTAGAAGAGGGAATAGTTAAAAGAAAATACATGTGTTATGCTAAGGTACATAGGTACTATGCCTACCCAGCACACAGTGAAAATTAGATAAATGTTGGCTACTGTTACTATTTTTTCATGGGAAATAAACCACTGCAATTTTGTATCACATCTAAATACCCTATTTTGAAATTGGTCTGCATACTAGAGGGAAGATGTGAAAAATGAGGACCAGAGAGAGAATCCATACTGAGGTTGAGGGCTGATTGGGTACAGGAAGTAAAAGAGGGGAAGGAGGCATCAGTGACAGGACAGGAAAATGGGAAACTATTTTGGGGAGGCGGGGATATGAAGGAAACAAGTTTAAATTGGGGCATGTTGAATTTGGTGGGATTTCTATATGCAGCTTTCCACTTGAAAATCTAGTTCAGGGTTGTATTTGGAAGTTGTCTACACATTAGCGATTTGTGAGCATGTGGGGGCCAGGGGTGGGGAATGTGTGGAAATGTGAATTCCATGGAGAAAAGAGCAAAGGATCAAGTTGGGGAGGGGACAGTTTTATTTAACGATCTTAGCAAGAAGAGGGAGTCCCTGGGGGAAAGTGCAAAGGTATCCTCAGAGAACTAAGAAAACCAAATCCATAGTGAAAGAGCCAGTGGAAAATACAGAAAAAGGGACTTAATATTATAAAATTTTGTAGAGAGATCAGCTAGCACAATGCCTGGGGAAAGGTCATGGGAATTGGCATTTAAAATGTGACTGGTGGGTGAGAAAAGGATGTTCCTGGCAATTTTTAAGATGGAAATTTCATTGCAGTAGTAGTCAAGTGAGAGTCCGTGTTTAAAGGGAAAAAGAATATACTGGGGACGAGTAGGTTCAACTGAAGAATTTTTATGTAGTGATGAAATTTGTTATTTATTTAATCATGGGAAGACACGCGCACGTGTGAGGGTCAGAGGCGGAGAAAAAACTAAATTGAAGAGGGAAATGTCCTTGAAGCCTGGGAGCACTTTTCAGACTCTACCAGAACGCTCCTCCGAAGCATCCGACCACTGCTCACTTCACCTTTGGCACATTTTTCGCTTTAAGTTCCACGTTGCCATCAAACTCACGTTCCCCTCCGACCTCTCTAGCTCTTTCTCAGTTGTCTTTTGAGGATCTTTGATTTTGGCTCTCTTGGATTCCTAAACCATCCTCTCATCCCTTTCTTACACCCTCCCCCCATTTTCCCTGGGTAATCATGCCCACAGCTGTGACCTCACCTGGCCTGTCTACACTGCTGTGGCTCGGATCAGTATCTGTTTCACACCCACACATGCAAGTGTCCATTAGACGTGTCCTCCTGGGTGCCCCGTCACTATCCACCGGCGACAAAACCATTAGTCCCCAAAGCCAACAACCTGGAGCTCAACCTGTGTTCTCTCTTTCTTATCCCTGACATACAATAAATTCCTAAGTTCTGTGACACTACCACTTACAGGTGTATTTTAAATATCCGTCATGCTTCTCTCTCTCTCCACCGCTCTTGCTCCACACCAGGTGCTCAGTATCCTACCCGGGTCACCAAGCTTTCCCACTTTCTGGGCTTCTGGCCTCTGATTTTACATTATTCTAATTCCTCGACTGTGGTATTTCCAGAGTGTGAGCTTTGTAACATACATTCTGATAACAGGGCTCCATGCGCTCATTAAAACTTTAAACTCCTTAATGCTCTTTCTCAACCATGCCATGGGACTTTTTTCCATCAATGACAGATACCTGTTGTTTGGCCATGCATGCTTCCCGAGCCTATCTTTTTGTTCCTCCCACTTATCTACCTGATTAACTCTCATTTGTCTTAGAAATTTCAGCTGTTTTTCTATGTCTCCAGCTATAGGAACCCAAGTCCTGTGACCCTAGTCTCGTTGCAATGACCCTCACCACCATTATTATCTGTCTCCACACTATCCTGTGAGCTGCATCAGGACAGGTTTCTGTCTTTTCATCTTAGTGTCCCCAGTGCCTAATACAGTGTCTGGAATGCTATAGGTGACTAATGTTTGTTTGCTGAGAATGGAACAAGGTCCTAAGGAAATGGCATAAAATGCAGTCAGACTCGGGTGGAGGAGTTAGCCTTAGAGAGAAGTTAAGATTCTCTACCTTGAGCTAGGAAATTATGAAAAGGTGCTTGACATAGATTAAGAAATCTCAATGTGGCAGGAAGGGAAATACAGAGAATTCAGGGATGGCCAGGATGAAAAGCGAGTTAATATATGGAAAGTGAGGGCTTTGAGGATGGATTTGGGAACTTGAAGGGAATGGGAAAAGATTCAAAATAGCTGTTAAGATAAACGGGATAGGAATGAGTAAAAAGGTTGACAAACAGTGTTGAGTACCCTGCTGGGGTGGGATCACATATGGCAGAGAATAAATTAATTATTTTCACTTAGGCAATGCCAATATAGCCTTGAGCATCCACAGTTAAGGGCCAAGAAGCCCTAACCTATTTGATTTATAATTGGACTTTATACTTAAATTATCCAGATTGGCTGCTCAGAGAGTCCAAAAACAATGACTCCTTAACTACTTTGTACCCCAGCGTGTAATGTGGTGCCTTTGTTGAGTTATTAGATGAATAATTTACAACCTTTCCATTCATGTATTTATTTTCTTCCTCAAATGCTTAGTTTTCTTGGTGTTTTTGCTGTCACAGGCCTTTGATAAGAAGAGCTGTGTGGGTGAAAGCTTATCTAAGCTACAAATAAGTAGCGTTTTCATTTTCTTCAGTCAGACACTCCCACTGTCCCCTTTGTCATCTTTCTCTGCAACCGCATGGCCTATGAAAAAATGGGACAGTGAAGTTTTTTTTAAAGATTTTATTTATTTGACAGAGAGAGAGAGACAGCGAGAGAGGGACCACAAGCAGGGAGAGTGGGAGAGGGAGAAGCAGGCTCTTTGCTGAGCAGGGAGCCCCTCGATCCCAGGACCCTGGGATCATGACCTGAGCCGAAGGCAGACGCTTAACCACTGAGCCACCCAGGTGCCCAGGACAGTGAAGTTTATGTGAAAATATTACTAAGAATGGTTCTTTTCTGAAGAATGAAAATACATCTTAATAAGATATGAAATAATTTGTCTTCAGTACATACTTTCTCACAAGAAATTATATTACCTACTTTTTTTTTCTTTTTTTTACTTTGAAGTGATAATATTTCTTGAAGTCTGTCAAATCCATTATGATTTTAAATGGCAGCCAGTGGTGGGGACACCAGTGTCTCTGAAAGTGTGGTCTTTGAGTCACCTTCATGAGAATCACCTGGAATGCTTAACAAAAAAGTGGTTTTCTAGGCCCCAGACCATCCAAATCAGAATCTATGGGCACCAGGCCAGAAACAGTCAGTATTAATATGGCTACAAGTGGTTTTTATCAAACTAAAATCTGGGATGCAATGTGGTGGTGGTTAAGAGTTTCAGATCTAGAGTCCAGCTAACCTGGTTCAAGTTTATCTACCATTTATTAGCTGAATGGACTTTTTAGAGAAGCCTTTTCACCTCCGTAAACCTCTTTCTTCATTAATCAAAAGGTAAAATACTACTACTACTCTATAAGATTGTTTCAAAAATAAAATGCAATACTGCAAACCAAGTGCCTAGCACAAAGCCTAAAATACATGAAGGTTCATAAAAGTTATTTTTGATAACATTGTTATTGGGATGTGGGTAGACCTTGATTTAAAAAAAAAAAAAAGTTTCAGTTTGGCCATAAAATGAAATAACTGCCACTGAATCCTCAACGTTTTCTGCATGTGGACTGGTGGTTTCTCCAGAGTTGAATGTTTCTTTCTGTGCCAAGAAAGCCGCTGATGGACTGGGTCAGTAGTTGGCTGTTTTGTGAGGTTTGAAGTGGCATGGATGCCAGGGAAAAGTGTAAGTCCCACATCTTTTGCATCAACTAGGAAAGTTACAGGCTATCTCTGTGAGGTAAATAACTTATTTGAGGAATTTTCACATGAAAACTCTTCATCAAGCTCTAGGCCCCCAGGGAAGGGTTCCGACAAACTGCTTTGCCTTGTAATAAATTCTGCTCTATCAGACAAAAATATGCCTCTCCCACGTAGAAGTCCTCTCTCCCTGCTCGGGAATAGTAAGCATGTGTGACGCTTGCTCTGCACATTGTACCTCCACGGGCACTAAGGGCATTTCGTGCCTCTGAGCTACAGCCCTGCTTCAGGTCAATGCATTTCCTCAGCAAAGAACACGAGTTTCTGAGAACTGCCATAACAGACTGCCCACAGCCAACCAAGCAGCGCACGCGCACTCTGTCTCATGTGCTCATTAACTTGAGGCTTCTTCCTGAAGGTCTAAATTCTCAGGACAACCAGCCCCAATCGTCTGGGCTTGCATAAGACAAAGATGAGCAAATATTATTTTATCAAGATTACAAATACAATAGCAGGTATTAGCCATTGTATAGAAGTTTAAAATCAAGTCTTTCATATAGATGACTGATCTGGATGACACTGCTTCCCTTCTTTACCGC